TTCACTTATCTACATATAAACGACCCATTTTTATTTTTGGATAATTTGTTAAACCGCTTCATCAAATTTCTTTTTTTTTTTTCATCTCAAACCTGTTCTTCAAATTTAAAAAACAAAAAAGACAATCCATTTTGTAAATTCCCTAAAGGACAAATACCCCTGACTAAGGATCTCGAGGAAAGTACTCGAGGTCCGTTCTCCAATCAGGCTGCGTTAAATGGCGTCCAGATGTGGTGCAGGATTGTAGGTCCTTCATATTGAAGGAACCCGCCTGCCCACCTGGACTCAAGTGCTGTGGCTCAGAGAGCAGCACTCCAGCAGCCCCCCCAGCTGAACAGCGGATATCGCACCACAAGGTGAGCTGATCTTCGCATCTAATATAAGAGACGAGCAGCTGGGGAAGAACCCTGACAATCTGAACCCTGACAATATCCTGTTGACTTTATTTTACGAAATAGATTGTCTTGACATTTAAAAATATCAGTTTGAAAAAAAGTTTTCATTAGAATGAGGATAGATAAATAAAAACGAAAAAGAAAGCGTTACACACCAAAATCTGAAGCAGAAAATTTGGGGAAACATCTGTACAAATTGTAAGTGAAATATAAAGGTGACAAAGTACGTAATAGAAAGCTCCCAGAGTGGTTTACTAAGAATAAGGAATATAGAATGTCGTTAAATAGAAAGTTTTAAGAGTGGTTTACTATGAAAAGAAAGTTTAAAAAGAGAGTACTGAAATCGGAAGGAGAAGTAATGATTAAGTAAATTAAATGAAAAATTCTGCTTCTTTAGATCTCTGTTGTCTGTAACCAAAACATAATCCCTCAAAGAGCTAATCTCAGACAAACTGTGTTACTCCCTTGTGCTTATTTGCCCTTTTACTTACTTACCTTTATTATAACTTGGTTTCCTTTCCTTATTGATTGCTTTTGTCACACTGAAGTACCCAAAGACTCATTAAGAAAACTATAACTAATGTTCTGTGTTAACAAAAACCAGTACAGTTATTTATATATATTTTTATATACGTTTTTGTATCTTAAGAATCAATTCTTGTTCCATGATAAATTCAAGAAAGTTTTCTTTAAACTTGCTTTTCTATAAAACAGAAAAGGGGGATATATTGGGATCCAGTTTTTGAGAAAATGTGTTTTAGGATTTTTGTTATGTTATTATACTATGTTATTGTATTATTCCCTTTCATCGTACCCCCATTTTCCCTTATTTTCCCTAAGCCTTCAAACCCTGCGTTTCTATTGGCCAGTTAGTGCTGCATTGCAGTACCAACCTTATATGGCCATTTCTTCCTTATATAGATATGCTCCTCCCCTTGTTCTCCCTAGATGGTCCTAGTTTGCATACTCCACCCTTGCTCCTCCCCAGTTACTTCCCTTGTTCCAGCAAGTTCTGCCCCTGCCCTATAAAAGGCAGGAGCCATGTTAATAAAGTGTTCCATTTTGCACCTAACATTGAAATGTCCGATCCCTCATTCCTATTGGGCCGTCGGGGACGCTGAGAACCTGTTTCCTGCATGTCAGTCCTGTGACCATGGGCAGGGACAGGCCCTGGGCGCTGCTGGGACAGAGCTGGGCTCCTTACCTTCCAACCTTCTCCTTTAGGCACACAAGGTCGCTTGCAGCAGCTTTTCCCTTCAAAAAAAGCATTACAGAGAAAGACCTCCTTCCTCCTCAAAATACTGCAGGAGCTTTGAACAGAAGCCAAGTTTGGCTCACTGCAGGGGGGAAGGGATGCTGATCCAACCTGAATTTGTAATGGGAAATGATGGAGCCCTTGGGAATAGCTGGAGGAACAGAGGAGTATTTTATAGGTACGGGGCTTTGGAGCAGTACTGGCCTCTGCTGGTTGTCGGATGTCACTGAAGAAGTGTTGGGCTGGACTGCTGTGAGATAAGCACTTTAACATGTGAAAACCAACCCTTCTGCGGGATAGTTGGACCCCTTCACTCCAGACTTGTGCCTGTGCCAAGGGCACAGCACAAAGAAAGGCCACTTGTCACACGCGAGCTCCGCTGTGAGCCAGCTCCGAGCTCAGCCTGATGAATCCTTAAGTTGCTGGTTTTTCCCTTCAGCCCAGGGTTTCCCTTGCCAGTGTTTGCACAGCACACAGAGTGCAGGGGCCACAGCAGCTGGGGGGTCCTTGGATCAGGGTCAGGTCAATTAAAATCAGCCCAATCCGTATTTCTAAGGCTCTGCAACACACTTGTGTGCAATGAATGCACTGTGCTGACACTCCTGGAAAGAGCTGAGTCTGCAGCACACGTGTATTTGCTAAGCAGGAAAAAAAAACATCAAAAACCCCCTTACTGCACCATTCCCAATCGATGGGGCCAGTTCAGGCCCATTTGCCTCTTTCTGACCTTTGCTATCAACGCTCCTCCCAGTACATAATTACCCACATGCTATTTTTTTTACCCTGTAATTTCCTCTAATCTCAAATAAATGCTCTAATTGACCTCTGTCCTCCCAGTGTACATGGCACACTGAGCAGGGCTGTGCCCACAAAAGACCATTAGAAAGCACTGTCTGTTCACACTGGGACCACTCCTATTGTGGATGCTTTGAACCAGAAGTCAGACCTCAAATATCCGATGCTGTGAATCATTACCCACGCAAAATAGATATTTTCCAGGTGGCTGCTAAAGAAAGCCTATGATGTGGAACTGAAATGGTCCATGTGAGCCAGAGCTCACCTCGCCCAGAAGCAGTTTCACAAACAGTTGCTAGTTTGCACACTGGACCAGTGTTTCTGCCCAGACCCTCTGTGCACACCCAGGAGGCTTTTAACCAAATACAGTGCTTTCAAAGTAGCTTGGAATGTTTCCCCCTTCTGGAAATCACAAATTTTAGTGCAAAGAATACGTGCTGCTTATTCCTGCTGCTCCATCCCACAGGCTCCCGGAAGCCCTGAGCGGTGCTTGGCAGCTAACACTTACTTTCCCCTGCCAGTCACTATTTTCTAAAGAATAATTTTGCCTCTTAGCTGTGGTTAATGGGCTTTGTCTGTACCGTGTGGATGCAGTCAGGGCATCCCTGAAAGGTGGTACTTAGTGAAAGAGAACATGCTGATGAACCTTCCTCCCCAGCCAAGCCCTGGGCTTTTCCCACGGGCTCTGCTGCAGTGCACATACCCAAGTGACCTTGGGATTTAAGCTGAAAAACTACTGTCTTCTCAATGCCTACTTGGCTTTGGGGCAGAAATTCCATCACTGCTCTCATGGCAAAGGCTGGTGACAAGGGAGGCTGGTGACATCCCCCAGTGGAGCAGCGAGCCTGTAGCATGTCCTGCATTCACTAAGCAGTGCCAGCACAGGTTGCAGCCCCTGCTTTCAGGGCTGTTTGCTCCCCTGGGCTGTTTGATGTCACCTGGCTGGGTGGCAGTGTGACAGCGCAGGGCTGGAGGAGCCCCCAGCCTTCCCCATCCCCAAAAGCAGGGCTCCGGCGTAGCTAATCCCCTGCTGACAGCTTCCACAAACAATGTCCCTCTGGAGCAAACACAGCCGGGGAAGGAGAAGAGGGAACTTTATTTTGCAGCCATTTGTGGTAGTGTTCACGCTTACAACCCCAAGTGCTTTCTCTGCTTACGCACCAGAGCAAGTAATAATAGTATTTTTCATTGATACAGTGATTTTCATCTCTAGGACTCTCTGTAGACCTGACCTGTGGTCTGGGGATTGCCTCACCTGGGCAGGTGAACTCCAGTCATACACAACAAAACTGTGCTCCTTGTCTCTGCAGAGATTTTGGAAATATCACCTGCCTGCTCAGCACCTTCCAGGGAGCTTCGGTCTCATCTCACCCAGGGCTGCATAAGGGCTTCAAGGCTCAGTCTAGGAAGTGGTTCCACCTGATGGACTTGCCTTTAGCTAGATGGGGACTTCAGGAGTGGAATGACTGAAAGCTCTGCTCTCTCCAGTATCAGAGAAGCCCTGCTCAGCAGGGAGGAGCAGGCAGGACTTCTCTGGAGATATTCGAAACCAACCTGGACACAACCCTATGTAACCTGCTCCAGGTGAACCTGCTTTAGCAGATCTCCAGAGGTTCCTTCCCAACCATTCTGTAATTCTGTGGTTTTCTGGCTCACTGTCCTCAGTGACTGGGCTGCCATGTGCATCACCTATGAGAGAGGAAGGCAGGAGGCAGAGGAGCAGTGTAAAACATGGCCAGGTCACTAAAAATAAGATGAAAAACTGAGCATGAGTTTGCAGGAACTGAAAGTAGGTGTAGGGTGGACTGAGAGCCATGGGACAAAACAACTGAGTCACAGAGCAGCAGGTCTGAGAGCAGGAAAGGTTAAAACAAATATTGTTGAATTGGCTTAAGACTGTAATCAAAGCTGGAGATTGCATTCGGGTTCTACACACTGAGCTGTTGTTCTATCCTGTTCTAATTTCTGTCAGTGTTATTGTTGGAGGAGCAGCTCCACTCGGGCTCTCAGCTCCTGAAGGAAACACGAGTGGGACTTCAGGAAGGGTGGGTTTAGATTAAACACTAGAGAGAACTTACGGTCTTAAGCTCTGCCAGGGGAGGTTTAGGTTGGATATTAGCAAGAAAATTTTTTACAGAGAGAGTAATCAGACATTGGAATGGGCTGCCCGGGGAGGGGGTGGATTCACCATCCCTGGAGGTTTTTAAGACGCGACTGGATGTGGCACGGCAGTGTTGGATCAAGGGTTGGACTCGATGATCTCGGAGATCTTTCCCAAGCTGGTTGATCCTGTGATTCTACGATTCTGTGAATTCTTCCCTGCGAGCGCGGCGAGGCACCGGCACAGGCTGCCCAAAGATGTGGCCGCGCCCCACCCCTGGAAGCGTCCGAGGCCAGGCTGGACGGGGCTTGGAGCAACCCGGGTCTAGCGGAAGGCGTCCCTAAACCAGGGCAGGGGTGTGGAAGGAGTCTGATCTTTAAGGGTCCGATGCCATCGCCCCGTGCCTGCCCCGGGCTCTGCGGGGCGGGGCCGGCGGAGCGGGAGCGGCGGGAGCATGGAGCGGGCACCGGGAGCGTTCGGGGGACCCAAGGTGAGCTGGCGGCGCTGCCGCAGGCAGGGCTGGGAACGGGCATGCACGGGGAGCAGCGGAGCTGGGAGCGGTGGCCAGAGCTGGCTGGAGCTGTGCGTGTCCCGTCAGCGCCGAGGAGATGGCACTAAAGGTGCCTGCGCTGGGAGTTTGGGTGGGTGCCGAGGGAGTTTGGGTGGGTACCTTGCCCTGCTCCCTGTAACACTGCAGCCTCTGTGCTGAGCTGATAGTACAGGGATTTGCCTTGGGAACAAAACTTCAAAGCTAAAAATTAAAAAAAAAATTTACAAAGGTGATCCTTATTGTGGGGACTGCAAATGCACAACAATGTGTTCAGAGTGATGTTGTCTTTGGCTAAACCACTTCTTGAGTACAACCCGCCCCCTGACTCTTGGCACGGGTGCCTGGTTCTGCTGAGGCTGCATTGAGCTCAGCCATACCTTACACGGTGGTGTAAGGTATGAGCACCTTGTGTGCTCAGTCCTTCAATAATGGGGTACAGGGACGCTCTTGGATAAACTTCCTGCATCCACTTGTCAGCCGTGATGGCAGTGAGAGGTTGGCTTGGTGCTGCACAGAGTGCAAGGGCTCTGTTTATTGCTCCAACCGGGGGGGGTGTGAGATCCATGGTGGGTTGGTGAGGACGTGGCCCTGCCACCCCATGGGATGTCACCTGTGATGACACACAGCCACCAGCACCTGTTAACGTCACCACGAGTCTTGTACCGAGGTCAGTGAAAGTCGAGTAGTTGGTGCTGGGAGGATGGTACCAAAGGCTTCCCAGCACAGGAGTAACCTCCTCTTCCACAGTTTGATTAAAAAAATAAAATTAAACATGCATTTTGTAGGCTATACTGTTACTTAAAAGAAAACAGTTGTGGAAAGATGAATATCTAGCTGAAACATTTTACAGCTAATATTTTCCTTCCCAGTTTGACTTCCAAATTACATCTGTCATGTTCTTCCAAAAGCCCCAACTGGCTAATGGAAAAAACTTGCTTTTGTTTTTCTGGGGCTCTTTCTCCAAAATCCAATGTTTCAGCAATAATCAGGAAACAGGGTTTCAGAGTGAAAAGACCTGATCTACTGTCCCATTTTTAATGAGTAAAAATTTAAGTGTTTTATTTTGAAACCAGCTTAGTAGCTCTATGGGACAATTTATTATTTTTTACAGCACCTTGTACCATGGGACTGACCTCTTGTGTAGGATTAGAGATCCTGTAAGCTCTGATAATACCAAGTAATTAACAACCCATCAGGAGCTGATTCTTGGAAGTGAAGTCAAAGTTTTTGTAATGACTCAGCAAATTAATTGGTGTTTGACTGCCTGTGACTTCAAGGAGGAGTAAGCTGGAAAGCAAAGGTGTTTGGGGTTTGCTTTTTTCACTCTTCCCAAACTCTGAACCACACAAGCTAAATAAGGATAGGGCAGTTCCTGAAAATTACCAGAAACTGAATAATTTTCTCAAGATTCATTAAATGTGTGAGCTGCAGCAGTTATAAGAAAATACATAGTACTTAGATGTTGAAAAATAAACTATATAATGATTATATTTTAAAAATGTTTCTGTGCTTCCTTGTCATAATTTTGTCCCTGTATTGGCTGCATTTCTACCCATGTGAGTGCCAGCTACTTATCTCTGAACTTTTGCTGTAGCTCTAAGAATACCTGACCCATTTTTCTTATTGCAGGTTGAGCTTCACGTCCACCTGGATGGAGCCATTAGACCAGAGACAATCTTGTACTTTGGCAGGTGAGTTGTGGGGTGAAGAAAGCTCTGAGAGCTGCAGTTCCAAAGCATCATCCCTTCTGCTTGTCCAGATCTGTGACAGAAGAGTTCCTGCAGGCAGCAAACCTGGCTGGTGCTGGTGCTGTCTCTGCCCAGACGGGTCCTCTGGCTGCACAGTGTGGTGACACTGAGCACATCCCAAAGGGCAGTGGGGCTGCACAGTGTGGTGACACTGAGCACATTCCAAAGGGCAGTGGGGCTGCACAGTGTGGTGACACTGAGCACATCCAAAGGGCAGTGGGGCTGCACAGTGTGGTGACACTGAGCACATTCCAAAGGGCAGTGGGGCTGCACAGGTAGCAGTAACATGAGCAAGGTGGTCATGGGTTTGTGAGCCAGGCAAGCCAAGAGGAGCCACCATGAGAAAAGCCCCGAAGGTGACCCCGGGAAGCACTTGGCAGTGACTTGGAGAGAGGTTGTTTCCTTGACAGAGCCCACGTGCATCTTCTCCCTTCAGGGTAGAAGGTGTAGGAAGCACTGGGTGAATGATTAACTGGTGTGAGGACCTGGTTCCACACTTGTGGACAAAATAAATAAGAATTCTTCCAGCTGTCACTGATACCCTCAGATCAAGAAGGCTGTGAGCTTAAGGATTTCCAGGAACAGCTCTTGGGCACAGCTCTGGTACTTTGGGGAGGAAATCAGTTCTGAGGAGGATGGGAAGCGGTTCTGGGATCCTGTGAGCCCAGCAGGCTCCAAGGCAGTGCAGTCCTAGGGGGAATATTCTTCCTACAGTAGCTATTTCTGCAGGGTGTGGCCATACCTTTTGCAGTATAGTCAGAGCAAGGAGGGTGGATCAGAGCTGTCCATCCCATTCACTGTGGGATGTTGGCACTGAGCTGAGTCAGGGTTCCTGCTGGTGGGCTGCAGGGCTGGAATACACGTCCAAATGGACAGATGGGTCAGTGGTGACTCCCTGGGGCTCTGCTGGATCCCTCTGCCAGCAAAGGGAAAATGCCAGTGCAGTCCCTGAGGAGGGCTGCGGGAGCCCTGAAGCCCAGGAAGCACTGGCTGTCTGGGGATCCTGTGCCAGGATCCTTGCTTAGGGCAGAAACCTTCATTGCCTGAGAGTGTGCCGAGTTGCCTCTTATTTTTAAACAGCCCTGACATCCCCCAGAGCTGCCAGCCCTCGGGTGGAGCAAGGCTGTGCTATTCGTGAGCTCTAAAACTTGCACTCACACACACAAAAAAAGCAGTGGGGCAGTGCAGGAGGCTGTAGGGGACTGGCTGCCTTAATGACCTCACCCTGGGCACAGAAGGCTGCTTGTGGTCTATTTTTAAAGGTAAATAGCTGGAAATAAATTTGCCAGGTGGTGGCATAATATAAACCCGAGCTGCTGGGATGCACAAGGTCCCTTGGGCAGTGCACTGCTGAACTCGGTGGTTTTTAGAAACTTTGTCTCCAATTCTGTCAGATCTGGGCCAGGGTTTGCATCCCCCCTGCCCAGCCAGAGGGTTTAGAGCCATGGCAGATCCCTCATGGGACTGGGTGTCCCCAGGAAAGCTGCCCTGTCCGAGGTGGGATGGTTTGAGTGGTGCTGCCCATGACTGGAGGTGGCTCTGGGCAGGACACCAAGGTGCTGGTGGGCATGAGCACATTCCCTGGAGCAGCTTTGCCTCAGGAAGGATCCCACCTACCATCAGGGTTGGATGGGGCAGCAGCAGCTCCCAGAGCCACACTGGCATGATCCACCAGACCTCCTCATCCAGAGACCTGACTCCAGGGTGGATCATCCCAAAGCACTGCTGCTGCTGCCTGTGCAGAGGCAATCCTTTGGGAAGCCCAGGAAAATGTCAGGGGAGGGGCTTTGCTGTAGGAAACTTTCCCTGGGCAGGTGGAGGGAGGTGCATGCCGGTTCCTAGGGCAGACACTGATGTGTCGGTGCCATGGAAAGGGCAAGGCAGGGAGGAAAACCAATGCCTTGGCAACCATGAGTGTTCCCTGCCAGCAAGTTAATCTGTGCAGATGGCATGTGAGGGCTGAGCGTGGGGCTGGTTTCCTTCCTGGCCGAGGGGGGAAGGAGCAATGTTTACTGAGCCCAGGAGCAGGGTCCTTTGGACTGTGTCCCTGCATGGCTCCCTGGAATGATTGCTGCTACGGAGACAATAAAACTGTGTGTGGTGTTTTGTCTCTATTAGCAGAGATCCACCAATTAGCTGTAATTCATTGTGGCAGGAAAGAGGATTAAAAACAAATGTTATTATTCCAAATTTACGTTGGCTTGTGCAGGGTACCAGAGTGTGGGGGTGGCAAAGCCTGCCCAGGAAGCCTTCAGCACTCTTGGCTGGCAGCCCAGCTGTCACCCCACTGCCCTGGCGACACCTTCCCCCACACAGTACTCCAGCTACTCCAGGGAAAAATGGCCTCTCCCCTCTTGGAAGTACTTAAATGGGCTTTAGCATTGCTATCCCTTTGGTGAGAGCAGTTGTTGCCATTTGCTTCTGCGTGGAAGGTGTCCCTGTCAGAGAAGATGCCACCACAGTGCTGGGCTCGGGAACCAGCTCACTCACAGGAACTGAACCCCTGAGCCACGACACTTCTGCCTGTATGATCCCAGGCCTTGGAGCATCCTCTCGATTTTTCAAACCTTTGAGCCTGCGTAAGTGGATATTGACTTTTCTAAAGAATTTTGGCAATTCCTAGGACTAGGAGGTGCCAAGAAATAATCCAGAGCCACTTTAGATGAACTTCTTAAGCTTAAAATGTGCCCTGGCTGTGTTCCTGCAGGGTCAGTCTGGGCTTGTCTTTCGGTTTGTTTGTACTTTGCCTGTGTTTTGAATTGCCTTCCTCCCCGCTGAGATCCAGGGCAGCAGCCACGAGGAGATTTTGGAAGGACAGCGTGTGCTGTGTCTCTTCTGTGAAGGAGCAGTGGTCGATGCTGCCAGCTCGGGATGTGATCGCTGTGTGAAATGGATTGATCAAAAATGTGATGCCTTCCCTGTCAGTGACATGTGCCTTCATTTCCAGAAAAAGAGGGATCCCTCTCCCCGGCAACACTGTTGAGGAGCTCCTGAAGTACGTCAGCTATGACACACCACTGACACTTCCCCAGTTTCTAGAGAAATTTAATTACTACATGCCTGCTATTGCGTAAGTACCCTGCTTTTTGCTTCTCCCCCCTCAACCCTTGGTAGCATCCCTTGGCTCAGCCCTGGAGGTTCCCTGTGTGCCCTGGGGGTGAGCAGTCCCAGTTGATGGGTGGCACTGCTGTCCCTGCAGGGGTGACTGTGAGGCAGTGAGGAGAATCGCCTACGAGTTCGTGGAGACAAAGGCAAAGGAAGGAATCGCCTACGTGGAGGTCCGGTACAGCCCTCACCTCCTGGCCAACTCTGGTGTGGATCCCATCCCCTGGGGACAAGCTGAGTGAGTGATCCTGCTGTGCCAGGGAGTTGCTGGGTGGCCAGTTGGGCATGTAGAATGCATGGCTCACTCCGGACAGCAGTTGTGTGTCCAAAGCTCCTTTCTCCCCCCATGCAGTGAGCACCAGCATGCTTCCACCTCTCCTTCCCACCTGTAGGGTTTTTCATCTTAAATACCTCTGTGTGCTGCTGTGTTTTAACGTCCCTTGCTTTGGGTACTGGATTCTGCATGTGTAGGGCAGCTGTGCTCGACCTTCTGACTGGAGCTGTTCTCTGTGCGAGGCAAAGCAGCCTTCACATGTGGACTGCCTGCAAAATGGGAATTTGAACTGGCAGAGATAGTGGGTGGCATTGGAGGGGGCTGGTGATCCAATCCTTTCCTTGCATATCATCTCCTCTGTGATGTGTGCCTCTTATTAAATCAGTGCTGGGCTCTGTGGCCCCTCCAAAATGTGCTGTGGTGGGCACTGAGCCCCATGCTTGCCCCTGCCTGGCTGCAGGTAGTTGTGTGTGATGCTCTGGCAAAGAGGGGGTTCCTCTGGGCAGGATTTGCCCCTGGTTCCCTGAGGCATTTCTAAATCTTACTGTCATCTTCACATGCTTCTGTGCCCGACATCTGGTAAATGTGGGCATGGCATGGGTGTAAAAGGTGCTCATAAGTTCTGGGTGGTCTCATCGGGTGCCTCTGGATGTTGAGGTGAGTGGAGCCCCGGGCAGCCTGTCTCCTGCCTGCCTCCCTGGCTGGTGTCTGCCCTCTTGCTGATAGCTTTTCTTCCCTGCAGGGGAGACCTCACTCCAGATGAAGTCGTTCAGCTGGTAAATCAGGGACTACAGGATGGAGAAAGGGATTTCCACATCAAAGCCAGGTCTATTCTATGCTGCATGCACCATATGCCAAGTAATGAATTGCAGCTCCCCTGCTGCTCTGCTCCCCTTCCCTGGCGCGTGGCGGGGGGTGATGGCCCCTGGGTTCAGGTCCCTGCACAAATGTGGGGAAAGCCCCTGGTCCCTGGGTCTGATACAGGACCAGACAGTGCTGAGGAGGAGTTCTTTCTTGGTGGGGGGTCCTCTGCTCCCTTCACTGTGGGGAAAAGGTCTGCTGGATGGCAGAGGGGGGTCTGTGGGTATAAGCAGTTCCTGAAACGTCTTGCTCGTCTGTCCTCTACCTGGGGAGCTGTGATCTCTGCTCCCTGCCCAAAGGCCAGAGCACCCCCTGGGCCAGTCAAAGTCATTGGCACAGGGAGCACTTGCATCTACTGTGCTGTCTGATGGGTCTGAGAACAAATGGTCGTGGAAGGAGGACTGAGATCTCACACTTCCCTGCTCATGGTCCTGCTGCTGCAGCAGCATGTGCTCCTTCCTTAACCTGGATCACAGGGCAGCCAGAGAATCCACTGGCTGCCGTCAGTCTCTGCTGCCTTAAGATGAAAACACGAGTCAAATATACTTAAGACACATACATAAAACGTTTTTAAAAAAATCAGCAGCTCTGAACTTGGTCAGTAACAGGTGCTGTGACCCAGAATAGGAAGGAAACCTGATTTCCAGCATTTCAGTGGGCTGCTGAGTTCTCTGAGGACCTTCCTCCAGGGAAGAAGGTCAGAGAGAGAGTGTGTGACAGCAACTGTTTTATGTGAAGACTTTTCTCGGAGTATCTTCATATCTCACATCAGTTTCATATAGGCTTAATAGGGTAGATGGTGGAAAGATTTTTCCTAATGAGTACGTGGTTAATTTGTGTCTAGAAATGTGAAAAATCATATTCCTGGAAACTGGGAGATTGGAGAGTGGGGTTTTTTCCTGCCTGCACAGCCAACCGCAAACAATGCTTTGAAAACTCGACCCTGTCATTTCTGGTTTCTAGGAAGAAAACATTTTTCTTTGTAGAAACTGGAAAGCTGTAAGGCACAGTCACCCTGATCTGCAGTGTGCCAGCACACAAGTGGTAACGGCAGGAGGTGGCAGGAGCATCTGAGGGCGCGTGGAGCTGCACTGCTGGAGGGATTGCTTGCGCAGGCAACAGAGTTGGCATTCTCATACCTGTATCCCAGGGCACCAGCTCTGTTACCCAGAGCCAGGAATGTGCTTGGTAAAGAGTCTTTAGTGCTACGTTCAGGATATGCTGCACAGCATATCACCTGTGATATTAATCACCTTGTGAATAATGAACTGTTGAGAGAAAGGCAGAGGTGCCAGTCAGAACTAGCTTGTATTAAACTTGTTAGTAAAATAGTGGCTCTAACCCAGTGAGTTGGGAACTGATGAAAACAAAAAAAAGATGAAATTGCACACATCCTCTTATGTGTTCCTATGGTTTGGGGATTGTATGTACACAGCAGGTACCTGTTAATTATTAACACTACTGTTTATCTCTGTTTCTTGGCCTTTCTGCTAAGGTTAAGTGCTATGTGAGCTGGTAGATGCATGTCCTTTAGCAGAGGTTATCTATCCTGATCAGAGGGAGCTCTGAAGTAATTGTCAGCCACTTGTTACTCTCTTTCTCACTCATGTCAAATAGATAAAAATTCATCTCCTTCCCACCAGGAGTAGAATCCATTGTCTTGCCCCGGGGAAGTCGAGGATACCCAATAATAGGGCATGGCTGACTGTTGTACAGGGCCCCCCAGAGATCCCTCTCAGCCCAAACTCCTCCTTAACAGGACACATCCAGCAGATGCCTGGCCTGGGATGGGGTGAAAGCTCAGGAGTGAGTTGAGGGAGTTCTCCAAAGCACCATGTTACAGCCTCAGAGCAGTGCAGTTCATCTTACCTCAAGCCAACTGCAGCAGTCAACCACTGGTTGGAGGGGATTTTTTTATTATTTTTTTCCCCTTGCTCAAAGTGATCAGAAGAACATGATAAGAGCAGTTTTATAGCTAGTGAGTGCATTTGGTTTCCCTTTCCTTGATGACAGACTGATCAGTTGACAGCTTTTATTTGCATGAAGATGACAGACTTTTCTAGGAGTTTCTTTTTGAAGCATCAAATTTTAGGAAAGACCAAAGAAAATAGCTCTAGCCTTCTAGTCATAGGACCAGGATTTGTTCATTAAAATGCTTCCTCCTAAATACTGGTGCTGTCTCTTCCAGGCTGGTCTCCAGAGGTGGTGGAGCTCTGCAAGAAGTATCGAAACGACTCTGTGGTGGCCATTGACCTGGCTGAAGGTCAACCTTCAGAGACCCTGAAGGTGGAGAATGACTCTGAGCATAAGAAGGCTTATGAGGTTTGTGGAATTAAGCATCTTAAAAGAAATTACAAGAAAAATACATATTGAGGTGACATGTGTGAAGGGACAAGCAGCATGTTTTTCCAACTGCAGATGGCTGGGACAACTTAGAAATGCGTTGCAGCTATTAAAAACAGAAATGTTTGTTTATATTTCCTAAATGATTAAAGGTAGGCATCACTGCTTAAACATGGTCTTGGAGCTGGGGCTTGGCATGCTACCCTGTAGCACTGAGCGTGACACAAGTGACATGGAGCCCAGATCATCCCCCACCCCGCTGCTGTCAACTCCTGGGGTTCAGTGGAACCATGGCCAAGGTGGAAGAGACTGGCCTTTCCAGTCTGCCAGAAATCACCCAAGGAGCTGAGAGGAAGCTGCACATTTGAAGGGCTTTTATCTGATCATCTCAAAAACAAACACTGTAATAGCTTCAGGAGCCTGATCCCAGACTCTTACTAGACCTCAGCCTTTGCAGAGGTTCTAAGGGAAAGTCTTGTTCCTCTTTGCTAGTGGGAATTTGGGGTTGTTAGTCCCCTCCATCAGTGGGGGAGGAGGTTGTGCACCCCCACTGGCAAAAAAGACACTGGTTTGTAAGCAGTGCTCAGGTCTGAAAGCATGTGGGGCTTCCTGGGGTCTTCACCCCATTAGCGGGAGCTGATACAAAGTCTGCCTGCACTGCTGTGCTGGATAAACAGAGTGATTATGAGCCCAGATGCAGGCACAGGGTTTTATGAACAAATGGGCAAGTGTGTCTTATCCTCCCTGCTGTGCCAGCAGTACCCAGGTCCAGCCTTCTCCATCTGAAGGGTGCATCTTGTCTTTGTGCCAGGGGCTCGCTCAGGCTCTGAGATGCTGAAGCAAACCCCACTCCTATCTGTATTAAGTAACTGAAAAAACCCTCCTGAGTGCAAAGCCCTGAAGGACTGTCTGTGAGGAGTGGCTGCTGTGGGATGGGGCTTGCAACCTGCCTGCTGTTGCCAGCTGGGTGGCCCTTCTCCAGCAAGCCAGAAGCCAGGCTTCCCTCGAGGCTGCATGGCTTCCCAAAGCCCAGGTGGCCTCTGGGCCACCCTGGCAAAGGATTTTTCGGGTTGGTCATGGAGCTGCACCGAAAGCTGCACCTGCAGGGTCCTCTCGGCTGGGCTGCCTCCACCCCAGCCCCTTACAGGAGGGAGGTGCTCAGTGTCAGAGCATTTCTTCATCTCTGCCCTGGGGGGGGCTTCTAAATTCCCCCATGTGGCTGCAGCTGGCCAAAAAGGTAGAAGTTCCACAGACTGGAACTGCTGCAAGGTTCATGCAGAAGGACAGGTGGGTGGAGGAAGGGGAGCTTGGAGCTTGCTACTGTCTGGAGAAGAGGCAGTGATGAGCTCACCCAAAAAAGCCCTTGAGGAGCCTGACTGGGCTCCAGCAGAAGGTACCAGGAATTCTCAGTGCCTCTGTTTGTGGCCCTTCTCTTGTAGCCCTTGGAGTGCAGAGTCTGTGACCTGTGGGCTCTTGGCACAGAGCCCTGTTGCTTGCTGTGCCATCCCAGGGGTTTGCTGCCCTTGCTGCAGGTGGTGGGACAGGAACATGTTGTCCCTTGTTTTGCAGGAAGCTGAGAGGTGTGGGATTCATCGCACTGTCCACGCTGGGGAGGTTGGACCCGCTGCCATGGTCAAGGAGGTACGAGGAGTTCCCGAGTCAGGGCAGAGAGAGGGGCAGGGCTGGGAAGTGCCCTGCATCCCCTGCAGCAGGGAGAGAGGTGTCCCAGCCCTCTCTGTAGCCACAGCACAGCAAACACTGGGGACATGGCAGTGGCTGGAAAGGGCCATCCCAGAGCAGGGGCAGTGGCGGGGGCTGTCCCCATGGTGGGACAGGGGTCTCAGGGCAGGCAGGAGCCGAGCTGGTGCTCGAAGGCTGTGAGTGGTTTTCCTGTGCTCTTTTTAGGCAGTTTATGTCCTGAAGGCTGAGCGTATTGGCCATGGATACCATGTCCTGGAGGACCCTGAGCTCTACAAGGAGTTGCTGAGAACAAAGATGCATTTTGAGGTAAGGATGTGTGGTGGGAGTGTGACAGCTGCTGAGTGGAAAACCAGCCCTTGTTTGGGCTGTGCTATAGCCAGGGGCACGACCTGACAGCCGAGTGCTGACCACACGTATGGTAACATTGCACTGAACTCAGCTGCCCAAAGCTCCACAGCAGAAATGGTGGGGACACCTGTCTGTTTACTGGAACCTGTTGCAAGGAGCAGCAGTGCACACAGCAGCTTGTGGGAAGCTCGTAGCAGAAAGAATGGATTCTGGTGTGGCCGAGGATAAATTCTGGAGGGATTATTCACTAGTTTATATACCTCAAGTCTACAGGCTCCTCCTTCCACAAATCAAGCTGCTATACCAGAGCAAGTCTGGTTAGAGGTGGAAATGCCTGAGAGTTACTGTGCATGTGCAGATTTTCTTGGCTTTTCCCCAGAATGGTCATATCCAGCTAATAGATGGAATATATGTGTATATACTTAATGACATTGGTTTCCTAACTCTGGTTGGCACATTGCTGGTGACTGACTGGTCACGGGAAACATCCCACTGGCTCCTGCTGCTGTCATGTGGGTTTTGGGCTCTTTGCATCCGTGTCCTGGGATGTGCACTCATCCATCAGAGTAGCACTGAGGGGCAGCTGTGAACAAAGCTCTAAGCCTGTATCTGGCTTTATCAGTGTGCTGAGCTATCTGTGTCCACAGCTGGGGTTCAGGTCTGCGTGTTTGATTCTGCTTTTCATACTTAACTCCCCCAAACAGGTCTGCCCATGGTCCAGTTATCTCACTGGAGCATGTTCTCCAGACTTCACCAAACACCCCATAATACAGTAAGATTTCTCAATTATATGCAATCTTAAATAACCAGGATTTGGGTTGTTTTACTGCTTTATAAAGCTAAGGCCCATCTAATTATGTAGGACAGTGTGGCACATCCTTGTCCTTTTGCACGGGGGGAGCTGGTGGAGCTGGAGGGGTGAAGGGGTCCCTTGAGATGGCTGTCCTGTCCCCCCTGCTCTGAGCTGTGGGGCATGAGGTGCTGCACCCCAGCCACTACTGGCAGGTCAGTGCAGAGCTGTGGGGACAGAAGCCACGCTCCATGTCTGTCTCCAGCAGTTCCAGCTGCAGGGACAGCCCTGAGGTCTTTGCTTTTACTGCGTTTCACCCTGAGAACTGTACAGCGTCACATCCAGTGCTTAACCCACCACTTCAACCACATTTCCTTACAGATTTAAGAAGGATCGTGCCAACTATTCTCTAAACACGGATGACCCCCTTATCTTTAACTCCACCATTGACAAGGATTATGGCATAGTCAAGGAATACATGGGCTTCACCGAAGAGGAGTTCAAGAGAGTTGTGAGTCAGCCCTGGCTGGGTGCTCTGATGCTGTCCTGGTGCAGCCCAGAACAACCTGCCAGTTTTTCTTTATGAGCTGAAGAATTTTTAATGGAAACCAAAAAATGCCGTCCTGGCCTTGTAAGCAGGAGGCTGAGAGGGTGCTGAGCTGGCTGGAGGGGGTTCTGGAGCACTGTGGGAGCAGGGTGTGGGCGCAGGGTGGGCTCTGAGGGGCTGCATCTCCCAGGCTGACTGCCTCAGTCTGTGTGGGGAACGGGTCAGAGTGGAAATTGTCTCACAGCAGGTCTGAGCAGCAGGAAAGGTAGGTGCCTCTTGCTTTTTTTTTTCCCATATTTGGAACTGCAGGTCAGTTATTTCAAGGCCTGGCCCAGGAATGAGCAAGATTCAACAGGTATGAAAGTGCTTGCAGTTTTTCCACTTACAACATGAGGATGCAACAACTGAGCTGGAAACAAAATGACTGCTGGTCACTGTTTTGGCACACAGAGTCATTTATGTTTCTTGCTTACATCCTTGATCTTCTAATTATCCACCCAAGACAGAAAGACAGGGTAACTGCTGGGGGTTAGACTTACCTGGTTACCAAGTGAACCTTCCTGGTTTGAGTCAAGTCCTGGTGAGCAATTCCACCTACATGTCTTCCCAGATACTTGACTTGGGAAGAGCAGGAGCATCAGGCCTCCTCTCAACTCTGTCTGGTGGAACAAATCCCTTTCTCCTACTGACCTCTCTCTCTGGGTCTGGAAGGAGGAACAAGGACAGCTGTGAGCTCTGGGATCCTGGATCCACAGCTGTCCTCTCCTACTCTTGCAAAAGCCACGTTGTTTCTGTGTAATAAAAGTCCCTGCACAAGACAGGTGACCAGGTTGAACTGCAGAGCCAGGCTGTGTCCCATCAGGCTGCCACCATGGCTGTGCCAGGAGAGGCTCTTTTCTGAAAGGGAGTCGGGAGAGTAGGAGCAGGTCTAAAGTGCATATCCCAAAAATCCCAAAGTATTTAAAGACTTTAAAGTATTTGCTTTGTGCCTGTCTCATTCCTCTTGGGACTGCTCTAGTGATGGGCCAGAGCAGTTGCCCTGTAAAACAAGACCATGGAAATAAAAAAATCTGAGAGTGGAAACTTTACACTTTCCCTCACCTGTTGCTGCTCAGAGCCAGATGTCCACGTCTGATGTGTTTTAACATCTCTCTTGTGTTCCCCCTCTTCTTCCCCAGAACATCAACGCAGCCCAGTCCAGCTTCTTACCTGAGAAGGAAAAGCAGGAGCTGCTCAACAAGCTGTATGAAGCCTATGGGATGGTCCCCAACACATCGTGACCCGTCCCTGTGAGCCAGCGTGGAGCAGGGCCCTTCTCCGTGTGCTGACTCCTCTGTGCCCGTTGGAGCTTGGGGAGGAGGTGCCCAGGGTTGGTCTCTATTCCTGGCAGCCCTGTGTTAACCCTTACAATGCTCATCAGAATCAGACTATCACATTCACCCACCTATACCCCACAAACTCTCCCAAATGGATATCCAGCTTCCTATCCTGCTGTTGTGCAAGCAGACTGGATCTGCCTACTGACCTGACTCCCTTCTCCATCTGTCAGTGTTTCTGTACTGCAGACGCAAACAGAAGAACCTCCCCTGCTTTTTTCCCCCCCACTCTTTCCCTGTTTTTCCTGCCCTGTCCCACTGACCTCCCTGGCCCTTGTCTGCGGTGCCAAAATAACCACCTTTAACTCTGACTGTGGCCTGGGTTAATCTTCACCCTTGCAGGGAAGAGGTGTGTTAGTGCTGGCAGGGAGTGAGCAGGTGTTTCAGACACAGAGGCTTTATTCCTGTCCCTGTGGGTAGGAAGGTTTGGTCACAGCTCTGTTTACACAGGGTTAGTCTTGTACTAACAAGACTGGAACAAGAACAAGCTGGAAGCTGGTGCCCCTACCTATACACAGGTCTGAAGGGCATTTAAAACAAAACACATTTTTTTGGCATCCTTTCTTGGACAAGAGCTGTATTAGGCCACCCAATGTCACTGCAGGTGACAGCAGTGCTCACAGCTGGCCACGCCCATGCTCGCACATGCATAGGAAGTTGGAACATAATTTTACCATTCTGGGCCAAAATCCACCTTGGGGGACTTTTCCCAGTTTTGTACTCATCCTGGAGAATTCCTGTGAACTGCAGTTTGATCTGCTTCTATGTTCGTTTAGGACTTGGAGAAGCCATGGTCGATTGGCTGGTTTAAGAGTTCTGCCCTCTTCCTGATTTGACATAATCATTAGGCACTCCTAGGGCTGAAAAAGTAAATTAACTAGGGCCCAGTGTTGACTTGGGTCCCACCTCATTGCTTCTCTCACTCAACTACAACACTGGCTCCAAGTCAGATCTTCGGTTTGGTGGAGAATTTATACAGAAAAATTCACCGAAAATTCCTAAGTGATTTTTGTGCATAATAGTGTTTTTACTTAATAAGCAATACAGCTGTGCATCCAGAGAAGAGGTCATAATTTTCTGACATGAGTGTGTGGTGTGCTTTAGCATCCCAGGTGTCTGCTGAGATGCTTACTCCAAAGATACTGTACCAAAAAGTTGCCTTTGACAAGGGGCTGTGGTCACCATTACCACGGACAGACCACGGACCGGTCCAGCCTCATCCAGCAGGAACAGTGTGCTGGGAGTATTTCCATTCTTTCTGGGCTTCCATATTGGTCTTCTGAGTAA